CATTGTACCTACTGCTGGTCCCATACACAGTAACAGACAATAATCCAGACACCTCTGATCACAAACAACATCCACGGAAATGTTGGGACAATGTAACACATATTGTATGAGCATCGCATATACAATATACATACAGCACCTTTGAAAGATCTTGTGGAAATACACAGGCAAACTTTTGAGAATGATCTTAACAAGATGGCTGACCTACCGGTATGTAAGTCTTTACAGACAACAGTTGGTTGCCACAAATACATCTATTGAGATCTTTTTTCCTTGCACATAAAATGTGTTTTAAGCAGTTGCAACAGTAGGAGAAGCTGACTTTTAAACATATATTGTTGCATCTGTTTATATCACAATGTACTGTGAGCCTGGGTGAAATGTTTGTATATCAAATAGAGTTCTTTTTACATGAGAGCTAAGGCAGAGTTTACATCTACTGGAGCACTGATCACAGTACACCCTTTGAAAACAAGGGTGTCCATATTGCATGTCATTAACACACAAACAACTGAGAAGTACAGTGGCTGGACGGCCTCCATTCTATCACACCTGCTAGAATAACATTTCAAGTTAAACACGGATCACATACTTTAACAGGAGGTTGGACAGCAACAACTCTGTAGGAGTCCCCCAAAGATTGCTATGATAGATGCACTGTATATACTTAGATATGTACATCCTCATCACCAAGGGACTTTGATTGCAAATCTGGACAACAAGAATAATTTACACTTTTGTCTTTACAGCTTTTACATACAGTTGTTTTCTGTGTCTTCTAAACTGTATTACAGTCACAATTCTCCAGGATATCTGATGACAGCCAAACAACATAGCTGTCCCATACTGTGCCCACACACACACACCTCTGCTTTGATACATGTCATCACGTTGCAGTGTTTTACCAACCCTTCATTAGTGTAAGACGGGGAATGTCTGTGTGTGTCCATCTGTACACAGGGTCTGGGTTGGTTTAAAAGTCTGGCGAATACCGGGCTCCAGAACCATAAGTCTGTATTGCCTGATTGTGCAGTTTCACGGTGCAAAAATAAAGTTCCTACAGGTAAGAAGTGTTGGATGGTGCACAGCTGGTGAAAGGTGACCGGTCTGTCCGTTAGGGGGGTCCTGGTGGTTTGTCTCCCTCCCCTTGCAGTCTCCTGTGAGAAGGAAATACATGGCAGAATTAGTTTATGTGCTTGGAGCAGCAAGTGCTATTAGTTAATCTGAACTAAAACTGTGCAAAGGGAATATATGAAAATTCTTCCGCTTGATCTAAGTACTACAATGATAAAGGCATCCATTCTTTGCCCACCTGAGATAGTCCTCATGATGCTGCTGCATGTAGCGCTGCTGCTCAATCAGTCTCAACTGCTCAGCCTGCGCTTGAGCTGACAACTGCTGGGAGGCGCTCATGTACGGTGGGATCAGCCCTTCATACTGCCGAGACAGCACAGTTTCCCGATGGATCTCATGCTCCCGCGTCAGGAACGGCGTCGGACCGCGCAGGAAGGGCGACGGCGGCTGGAACGGGGTTCCCGCCGAGGGTGGAGGGGGCAGTCCCGCCGGCCAGGGGTGCGGGCCAATCAGGTGGGGCGGTGGGACTCCGTAGAGCGGGTCCTGGGGATGCAGGTGTAGGTGTGTGTGGGAGTGGGAATGTTGGTGATGGTGCGGCGTGATTCCAGCCAGCTGTAGTCTCACGATGGGGTCCATGGCCAGCGCCATGTTGCGCTCTGCCTGCAGTCTCTCTGCGTTT